GCTACCTTGAAGCTAAGATTTCTTTGCCATCAAATTCTTTATTATTATCTTTTTCTATAAAACAAAAGTGGCATTTGTCTTTTTTTTGGTGTATCTACTATCTTTTATGGTTCAAAAAGAGATACATGGAACTCACAATGGGTCTTTAAAGACTTTGATAGGTATAATCAATAAAAAATTCAACTAATTTATTTATATATAGAAAATATTTTAAGTCTACAATAGTCAAATTTATTACAAGGACAAATAGTCTTGATATTACAACAAAGTAACCATACCTTATTTCCAATACAAAATTGAGGTTGTTCTTTGCATTAGGCATTTACACTATTTTTTTGTCATTCTTGAGCTTTTTTAAATTGTACCTTTATGGTTGCATATAAAATTAATAAAAAATAGCCAATTTTTTTTTAATGATTATTAGTTTTTGAGAAGTCAAAAGTATCAAGTCATAGATGATAATTATAATTAAAAAAATAAATATATTCATTGAATAAAAATATATATTATATTATCATGAAAAAACTTTGTCACTGACAAAAGAATTGTACAATTATCTTGATGGTAGTTAATGATACATCTTAGATATTGCTCCAATACTTGATTTACTTGTTATTTTTTCCACCCCTTTGAAGATAATAATCTAGAGATATTTTTATGTCTATCTTTAATATCATAAAAAGATTTTTTTTCAAAATTTCAATGCAAATTGAGTTCTTCTATTTGATATAAAATCCTTTAGCAATCCATGGTTATAATAAATATTATTAAAAAAAAATAGATATTTCTTTACTTTTGATAGATTTTTTATATGATATAAAATGTATCATCTTATTAAAATAATCTAATATCATAGGTATAGAATCATAAGAACTTGAGATTGAAAAATCCGTGATAAAATCCATAAAAATAAAATAAAATAAAATAAAAAACCATGGTTGAATTCATATATGTAATGGTTGGAAAAATTTGTAAGTTTGAAGTTGAGGAGTTTTTTATTTTGAACAAATATCACATAATCATCTAAAATCTTTAATTTCTTTCTATATTTGAAGCCACTAAAAATTTATTGAAATTAATCTTAAGATCTTATTGTATTGAAATCATCTTATAAGTAAAAGATTATGACAAGATATTATTAAATTTATATACTTCTATTCCTTGAAATTATGCAAATAATTATTGAAGTATTTGTGTATATTTGTGATATTATTTACATCAAAGATTAAAAATTATATCTATTCTTCCAGTAGTTATCTATAGATAGAAGTTTTTTTCTTAGAAATATTGGCTAAGAGCCATGTAAATTTCAAAAGCAATAATTCTTCTCTTAAAAGATGAGTTGTTTTGGATCCATTCAACCTAGTAAAGAAGATCTTTTAAATTATTTGGAATAGCATCAATGTGGCATTGCCTTTTCTTATTTAGCCATTGATATTAATAGAAAATAAAAAAAATTAATTATTATAGTTTTCTTTTCTTGTTATAAGTGCATCAATATTTCTTCTATTTCTTTTTTCTATTTTTACTTTATTTAATTGGATAGAGTTGAGCTTCTCTTCTTATAAAGACTGCTATATCAAATAAAAAAAATAGATATTGAGATCAACTTGTGGTAGATCATAAAACTTTTGTATTAGAGGCTACCATTTCTTCCTTTATTTTATATTTTTAAATAATATATCTATTATAAAAAAAAAATCTATTTTTTATGTATTATTTATTAAATTTCTTGATAAGTCTATTTTAGAAAATATTCTTTATATTATTTATAGAATATCTTGTGTCAAAGCCAATAGAATTTTTTTTTAATAAAAGCCACATCCAATGGGAAAGAAGAAAAGAAATGGCTTCCTAATATAACAAGTACTTATTGTTTTGTTAAAACTTTATTTTTTAAAAACGATTATCTTATTAATTTTATTCAAAGAGTATTTGTATTTAAATATACTCCTTTATACCTCTATCACAATGTATATGATAGTCTTTTAACCATAGAATAATATCTTATGTAAAAAAAAGATATGTCTCAATATTTCTTCCTCATATTTTGGATCCATATAATTGATTTGATGGTAGTTTATAAGATGTCCCATAGTATATTATCATTTACTTGGATCCAATCTCTAAAATTCTACAAAGATATTTTAGAGATATTGAGACTTTCTTGGTTATGCATAGTACCAAATCTTATATTGTGCCACATAGTATACTAGCTCTATAAGCTATATTGAGATTATAAGACCTAAAAGTATTGGCATATGAAGAAGATCCATAAGCAATTGAAAAAAGTATGCTCATATGTTTTCATTAGATTAGTGTGGCAAAGACCACACATACTTGTTTCCGAGGCTTTTGATCTCCATTCCACAATTGGTAGCCTCTCTACTAAATAGAGCCATTGTATAGTTGTTATTTCCTATAAAAGCCATAGATGATAGATTTAGAAAATTATAAGCTTTTGTTGTTGCAATGTGTATCTGAAACAAGACTAGTCTATGTCAAGAATCTAAGACTCTTCTAATCTATAACAATATAAAACCTCATCACAAAGTAGGACAAAATGGACTAAAACAAAACTGAACATGACTAAACAAAATAGGATACGAAAGACAAAAATATACAAATGAAAATAAAATAAAATAGAACTGAACAAGAAGATGCAAAACCAAATTTTACTAATAAAGAAGATCCAAAGCCATACTTGATCTGGTACCCAAAAAGTCCTCATCAGTTCTATTTATACTTTATTTTATTACCCAGGACTTTCTAGAATGTTTTTAGATGATGGACCGCACTTAGATAATTTTCCTATATTCTTTCTAGAAGGTTTCATAGTAGGCTCCACCTAAATAACCATCCTAAGTTTTTTTCTAGAAGCTTCTATAGTGGATTCTACTTAGATAACCACCGTAAGCTCTTTCTAAAATATTCCACAGTGGATCCTATATAGTCTACTAACCTAGTCCCAACTTTAGAAACTTCTATAACTTTTCAAACATAGTTCCAATTATCTATTCCAATATGCAAATAATATAAATATCTTATCTATACCTTATTACAGTATCTTTATCTTACCAAGTCTAGAAGTCTTTTCATATTTCTTATGGTTTTATTTAGACCAATATGATAGTTGTATTTGGTTGTAAATTAGTAAAAATTGAATGCCTTTAAATTTCAACTTTTGAATATTGCTAGTCCTTGAGATTTTATTTTAAATAGCTAATAAGTATGGCATTGAAGGACCATATTATGTGTTAATATGAATACTCCTTGGAATTATCTTAAATAATTTTATATTTTAAATATATAATAAGAATAATATAAACATGATGAAGGATTTTGAATAAAAGTAGCTAAAAACTAATGTCAACTACCTATAGTTCTTCTGATAGATTTTCTTCAAATGTTTTGCACATTTAATCAAAATCAAATCATTTTTGTAAACAATATATAATGCAAATATTTGATGTAGAAAGTAAGATCCAATTACCACTATTCAATGGAATCTTTCTAGGTATCAAGGATACGAATCTCAAAGAAAAAAATCCTCCATACATTCTTATGTTACTTAAAAAGACTAGATAATTATTCAAAAATGATATAATATTAAACTAGAATATTTGTTACTAAAGACAAGAAAATTAGAAAGTCTTGAAATAAGACTAAGGACTAAAAAAGCATTGACAAGAATGAAGAAGGCTTCATTCTTGCTTCCATATATACTCTCTAATTAAAAGTTATGTGACAATATTCTATAGGACCTCCAATATGTGTTGACTTTGCTAGACACATGTCTTAACTTGCAAGGTAAGTCATTTATATGTATGCCACATAATAAGCTTGTTCTACAAGCTATTGACACATATGGTATGTAGTTAACTTGTTGATCAAATTTTAAAACCTATCAATTAACTAAAAATATATCTAAAGTCAAAATCGTATCTATAAAGCTTCTTTAGAAGATATTATGAAATTAATTTATATTTATTTAATTCTATCTAATTATATGAGTAACTATTGAAATAAATATGTATACCTATAAGACTAAGTGGTTTCCAAGATATGGCTCTTTTAAATGTAACTCATTTGGAAGGAATTGTGCTTAAGTCAATGGCTATTTTAGTAAATGTTATAAAGTACCATTCATCTAATGGTTCAAAAAACATGTCTTTAATCTAAAATACTCTTCTATTTTCCAAAGTTAAATATATAGAGTCAAGTTCAATCTTGAATAAGATTCTAAATAATTATTGGATAAGTTGATTGCTAAAGATGGATTATTTAAGGATCTCAGAGGTGTGTATCAAAAGAATTTATTCTAAACCAATTTTTGATGTGTTTTATACTTAGAATGTAGCTCTTTACAATAGAAAGGATCCTTACAAAAGATGCAACTAGCTAAGATTTAATAGAGATGTTGAGGCTGTCTCCTTGTCCTAATAAGTTTGGTGTAGCTTCAATTATATCTTGCAAAAGCCTTCTACAATTTATAGCCAAGCTTTAGACTCATAATTACAAGCTTGGTCATGAGTGCATATGTTTGTATTTGAGGATCGATATCTTTAGCATGTCTTGCATCCAATGGTTGTATGAATATTGTCCAACTAAACTTGGCCCACACGGGGTGAGTCATTAAAAAGACCCATCTTCAATTTTAGAATAAAAACTTGTATCTAGAATATCAAAAATACAAGTATTGGCTAAAGAGAGTGCATGAATTTCTAAATACTTAGGTAATTAGCTATAAGGGTAGAAAAAGATTCATCTTCAAGCTTTTTGTGTAAGTTTCTAAAATAATTCTAATATTAATTTTGTAGAAGAAAGTAATTAGTTGATTAAAGAATTAGAAGTAAGAATGGAAAGAAAAGAAAATAGTTGACAGGAATCCGGCCACTAGAAGGCGGCCTATTTTCCTCCCTTTCTGCTCTGATCGCGGATTTTGGATTTTGCTGAAGAGCCATAGTTGACAGAGGTCTGGCTGCCAGAGTATATTTTTATTGTTTTTGGTTTCATTTTTTTGGTTCTAAAGCTCCAAAATCTTCGGTGTGCTTCGGCTAGTGCTGCTGCCTTGTGTGTGTATTGTTTCTTTTAGGCGTCCAAATTTTGGTTCTGGTTCTGCTTGGCAACTCGATAAGCTGCAGTAATGCTGCTCTCGCTTTGGGAGAGCTGTGGGATTGCTGCGTAAGCTCCAACTGGTTGGACAATGCTGCTCGATTAACAATGAGACCATTGTTGTCTTTGGAGCGATGGTGGTTGTTCTCTCTTCCATATTAAAACCCGCAGTGTAGGTTGCAGATCTATTTTTTGCTGTCAGCTGTATTTGGGTGTTGCGGCTGAGGGCATTGTTGTTTTTGGACCTCTGGTTTGTAAGCACGGCGTCAATATTGCAATGTGGTTCTAGGTTGTTATTTTTTTCTTGTCCTTGATCTAAGGAGGGGAAGCGTGGTAAACATATTCTTATTGCTAGATGGTATGAATGCGGCTAATGTAGGGAATGGCGATGTTTGCATGATTTAATCTTTGGATGGAAGTTGCAATTACAAGTTGAGCAAGCAGAAGTAGTGGTTTTTTTCTTTTTTTTTTTTTTTTTTTTTTTTGGATGTGGGCATCACTTCTATTATCAACGTCTTCATGTTTTTTGGTTGTTGTGGCTGGAGCAGAGGGCTTTGATTTCCTCGGGACGTGCACTAATTGCAAAGCTGGCAATAAGGGTACAAAATTTCAACCTTTTTTTTTTTGTTTTTTTTTTTTTTGTGTGTGTTCCGTCTGGGTTCTGCGGTGCAGTGTGCAGGCTTTATGTATCCCTCCTTGCGACTGTGTGAGTGTTCTTGGCTGTGGTGCGGCAACAATGCCTCTTGGTGGTCATCTATGATTGAAGCCCAAATATCCAAGCAGTGGAGGTGTGCTGCGGAGGAGTTCGACCATCTATTAGGTTTGCGTCTAGTTTTATTGCCATTTTAATTTTTTTTCCTTCGGAGATCTAGGACCAAAGAGTTGCGGCGGCTGGAAAAAGACAAGTATTGGTGCCGTGGAGGTCTAGAGATGTTATGCAGTGGTTCTAAATTGTCTTCGTTCTTAGTTATCGTGTTTAGTCATTTCCTTCCCTCATCTTGCTCGATTATTGCCGACGTGATCTTTTGGTGGTTGGTGAAGGACATGTTGAGTGCCGCGTGTGTTTGTCAACACCACAACCATCAACTCCCTCTTAGTTTATTATTTCCTCTCTCGCGTTATGGTTACTATTGTGTGTTTTTTTATTAGGTGTTTTGCTGCAGTGGGCTACTAGATTGGATGTTCTTCTTTTTATTTGTTGTTTTGTCAAGTTGCGGTATAGTCGGATTATCTGCATTGACGTCCAAATATGGATGGCCTCTGAATATCTTGAAGCTTCAAAAAGCCAACGCTGATCTAACTAAGTGAATCCCTGTCACTTCTTCCTTTTTTTTTCTTGGAGAGCTCTAAACAAGCTCACGGTCGATCCAGATATATGTTGTTCCTTGGCTTCTCTGTATTTTTCTAATTGAGATCTTAGGCAGAGTTCAAATTCCAAGAAGACTAGGAACATTAAGACAAATGTGAATTCTTTGACATCTTGAACCTTAAGGAACCAAGGAAGACTGCGCTGTTCAACCGTGGTGCTAAAATCAGATTAAGAAGGACAAATGATCTTGAGATCATCTTCTACAAGGTTCCAATTGATTCCTACAATGCCAAGTCATCTGATGGCCTCTTCTCCAAATTCTGAGTTTGTTACCAGTTGCTTGCTCTCTCTTCCTTTCAACATTATGGTTACTGTTCATCTTCATAGATGATCGTTGGCGACCTGCGGTTGTGTAAGTTGGTCGCATTCCAAGCCAAGACGTGAAGATCAGTGTTATTGACCTTGTGTTGGAATTAATGTCATGGTGCTGAGGCTACCCAAACACCATAGCAAGGAAACTTCAAACCTCTTATAAGGCTAGGTGGATTAGATTGTTGAGGTTCCAGTAGTAGAGCATCAATAGTTAGGATGAATTATCATAAAGGGATTCTTTGAAGAGCAGCTGGAAGTGCTTCAATCCACAAGATCAATGCACTAAAGAAATTGTTGCTAGAGATTGTTCTTGCTATGTTCTGACTGGGAAGCAAAAAAAACTCACTCCGGTTCTCTTCAACTGTCAACACTATTATTTCATGTGAGCCTTCCTATGCGCGATTCTTATAAAAAAAAATAGTTATTTTACCAATAGAATAGAATTTTAATTGGATGAACTTAAGTCAATAGATTAGATGAATATGAGTTGGATGAGTTCAGGACGTAGGTGAATTTTTATTTGTGGATAAATTTTCATTCACAGGGAAAAACTGATTTGTGAATAAAAATTCATTCAAGAATTATCTCAAATTGCTAGATAAAAAATAATGAAAAATCAAGAAAATATATAAACTTCTTCCAATATATATGCATATTAGAATTACTTGATTTGACACATTGAGTTGTTATGAAGTGTTTTAAGAATTAATAAGAGTAATCAAGAGAGCTTAAAGTAATCTTTTAAGAAGGGCTTAGAGTATAATTTATATATAATTAAAATATAAAGTAATTAATTAATGTAGATTAGGATAAACTTTGAACTTGTAGGATTTTATTTTAGTTCATTCATGGTGTTATTATTTCTTGCATTTCATATACAATTTTAAATAAATATATGTATTATTTTGAAAGTAGAGTTTGTAATTGCCAAGCATAAACAAAAGAATCATATAATGGCAAGAATGGTTTGATAAGCCATCATAATTCTTTCTGCTAGTGATAAATATTTTGAGTTCCAAAAGATGAGACTAGTTTTAAAGCCTTGTATAATCTTATTGGTAATGTCTTTTGCAAGTGTTATGATTCCTATAGAAAATCCAAGATATCTCGTTGTAGTTTCCAAAGATAGCTAGTTTAATCTATAATATCTAATCTATTGGTATATTTGGATTTATTAAAATATCCAAATACCTATGGATTTGTTCCAATTTATTTTAGCTTTGTTGTCTTCATAATATATAATGAGTATATTCATTGATATATCCAAATTTGTTATGGTGCCTTGTATCTATAGAGCTAAGTCATTTGCATAGATTTGATTTGTTGTAGAATAACTATTTGAAAGAGTAAGGTCTTTGAGGGATTGATTTGGATTAGAGAGAAAGTAACTTAAAACAGCACGTGCTAGAAGATAGAAGTAGGATACCAATTGGCATCCTTGCCTTATTTAACTTTAGAGGGACAATTATTCTATAAAGATGTTGTTCAAAATGACTTTGGCAGTATCTTTTGTATAAAGTAACATAATTAAATTCACTTATTCATGAAAGAAGTCCATATATAACATCATCTCTTAGAAAAAAAATAATTGATTCTATTATAAGCCTTATCAAAATTCAATTAGAAGAAAATTAGATATTAGTTATTTTCTACCACTCAATCCATGGCTGATTGCACTATAAATATATTATGAAAGTTGTACCTTCTTAGAATAAAAATAGTTTGTGAAATTTAAATCTAGACAAAAAAACTAAGGTATCATCTAATTTACCAATAGTTTTGTAATTACCTTGTATATTCATCCTAAGAAGGATATCAGCTTGAAGTTTGTGAAGTAGATTAATTCTCTTCCTTTAGAAACTAAATAAATTTTACTTGTCTTAAGCAAGCCACTCAATGACTTAGTGGCAAAGATTTCTTAAGCCAAGCTAAGAAGATCTACACCAATTTTGTCTAAAAAGGCTTGAAAGAACTCAATGGAAATTCCATCAATCCTAAGAACTTTGTCTATAGGGAGGTCTTTTATTGCCTCTATTATTTCTTATAAAAAGAAGCTTTGGATGAATGCTTGGCCTTCTGCTTTTATAACACAAATTGACATATTTTGGAAATAATTTTGTTTGGCTTGAAAATTAGCCTTAATATTCTTGTTCTATAAGTAAATGCAACTATAGTAGGTACCAACATATAATTGCATCTTATTATAATTAGTAAGCAATTAACTTTCATCAATTAGTTTGTTGATCAATATAGATTTTTTTAAACCAATGTGGAATTAAAAAAAAAAAAAAAAAAAAAAAAAAAATTATAATTATTCCTATCATTGATTTTGATCCACTTTCATAGGTGCCAATCATATTTAGCATCTATTTGTTTTTGTTTTTAGATATGCAATGCAATTTAAGCTAGTTTGAGATTGTCTTGGATTTTTTAATCATTTGAGTTGGATTATGAAGCAAGTTCTATCTTAAATATAAAAGCAAGTTGGATATTGAATTTGTTTTTTCATTGTACTTGAAAAACATAGACCTTTTAATTACTATATAGTTTGAATACCTTAAGGTCTTTTGCAAATCTACCATTCTATAATTTAGAAGCATTTGTCATTATAGCTTTATGCTACTTTTTTAATAATAAAGATTTTTTGATATTATACATAAGCAAGTATCAATTGAAGATGGATTATTATTCACTTTTGTTGTAGTAGGGTTGTAACCTCACAAAAATATGGGCATGGTTTGTTACATGTGCTAGCAATGGCCAAATGACAATTTAGCTTTCAATGTATATTAAAATATGGTTCATGTAAAATTTTTCGAAGTTAGAGTAAATCAATTCATAGGCTATATATTCATTATTCTACAAAAATTATTAGATGAATTTTTTAAAACTTGTCTAATCAAAGATAATCTTGTAAGCCAACATACACCTAAAGATTTCTCCATGCTACTTATTTCTTTGTCTTCTTGTGGTAGTACATTAGCTACTCTATTTATCTTTTAAATGAATTATCATATTAAAGTTGCCTCCTAAAATCCAATTGGCGACTGAAAGTGGGTGTTGGTGAATCTTAGTCTATAATCAAGTTTTAGATCTAGTATAATTAAAAGCATATAGATTAATATTACTAATTTTGATATAAAAAGTCTATGGCATGATGATATATTGGGTCTTCTCCTTTATGATTACTCTATATTTACAAATAATTTCTTTTAGTTTTTTTGATAAAAAGAAGCTCGTATTATTCTTAAAATTATCTTTTTTGACACAATATATAGTTTGATTTAGAAAAAAAGTCATTTTGTGAATTTAATTTAATTAATATGATATTTTTCTTCTTCTAGTAAGAGCATGTACTCTTGAATGATAATAATATTTGATTGAGGCTAAAATTTCTAAATAAATTTTTTTATTTCTTACCACTTGCATATACAAATGACATTTCAACTTAGTCCTTATACATTGAGCTATACTATTGTGAGTAAATTAGACATCTTAATTGTTTATTTGATGGATTTTGGACTCTCTTTTATTGATTATTCTTATCATAGATGGTATGATATTGGATGTATGAAGATCTAGTTCATTAGGTAGTTTCAATGAAATACATCTCAATAAGACAAATAATTTGTGAGTTTCTATATTCCATGCTTAGATATGTATAGTAGAAATCTCAAAAGATAGTTCTAAAAAGTAATTGGGAAGAACAACCATAATAATTCTTTATTATTGCATGGTGTATGAACATCTTTATTATAGTTAATAAGGATTATAATAATATATGATAAAGTAACATACATACGACCATATGTAGAGCTAGCTACCATCTTTCCTCAGACAGAGAGGATTCAAATGTTTTTGTTTAAAGATTGATTTATTTTGAAGATATAACATGGTTTCATTGACCATGTATGTGCAAAGTGATGCAAATGTCTAAGCTTTTTCTTCTTGTCTGTGAATTGAATAAAATATTATATATTATTTTTTTGTAATTTTGTACATATCAACCAATGCTTCTAGAATGCCATCTCATTGCCAATAGAAGACTCAAAGTATGATTGTAGCTAAATTGTTTCCTTCCAGTATCTAGCAAGTACTAACCAAAAACTAGTATATATCTTTGTTGTCTTGTATCCATGTATTTTAGTTTGTGGCTTTGCAAGGACAAAGGATTATTTTTTTTGGTAGCTATGTTTTGATTATTGAATAAAGTTTGGTGTTCTTGTACTAATTTTATTGAGTTGTCATATGTGTTGTTTAGGTTGTAGTTCAGGTATTTCTCCATTTTTGTTTGAAGAAGCAAGTGATTGTCTCTTGCTATTACTTTAGTATTAGCACTTATTGCTCATGCATTCTATTATTAGTGTTCTCAATATATGATAGTTTTGTACTATGTAATCAAAAGAATAACACATACTATATTGGGATGTAAATCTATTATATTTTAGTATGTACTCAATATCACTTTTATTATCCAATCTAGATAATATAATAGACTAAGAGAGGATTTTGACATTTTTTATTAATATACAAATTTTAAAATCTTAGAGTCTTGTGAAGTATATATTAGAATCAAGCTATGAATGGCTAGCATGCTTTGCCTCTTTCTTTTTTTTTATGTAAATTAGATTTCAAAATAATTATTGGACTTGATTGTTAATTGGTGAAAGGACCTATGTAGGTTTATTTTAGACCATATAGACAACCTTCTTGCCCTTAGTGTTCATTCTAAAATATGTTGTAGAACTATATAGTTTCTAAATTGTTTATCTTTTCTTTGTAAAAGTGGAGGTGATCATATGCCATTGTAATATTCAAGAGTGGAGATTGTACTAGATCATCATTTGCCTTGTTGTTTTCAAACACAAATAGAATCTGATTATTCTAGTATTATTTTGTCCAATTAAATATTTTTTGTCTTTTTAATTAGGGAGGAAGACAAGGAGGGAAGAAAAGAGTCTTCTTTGTAATAGAAGAATTAATGTATTAAGAGGAATTATTTGAGGTTGAGAACTACTCTATTTACTTATATAACTATCTTTTTATATTTTGATTTAGTGAATGTTAAACTTAAGTGAGGATATTTGTTCAAAAGATTTGTTTGATAAGTCTTCTTTTTTGTATTTGGTTCTTAATGGCTTTGAATATTGTAAGATTTGAATCTTTTCCATAGCTTTGTGTATCACTATCCACCTTACTAGGAGGATATGCTATAGTATTTATTGTATATTTTGTATTTGAAAAAGATTAAACTCCTATTACTTGGTTGTTTTAGGCTAGCATATATTATTCAAAGTACTCCAAATTAATTAATGTAGATGGCTATTGGATGAAACGATTGGAATTTATATGTGAACTTGATATCGTTTAGTATTTTGAGATGCCTGTTGTTTATGTTGTATTGTGCAAATGTTGATTCTTTTTCATCTGTGATTCCTTGGAGATGCCTCTAGTACAAATGTTATTTGTATACACTTCTCAAGCTCCTTGTTACTCCATTCTATATTTGTGATTTGAACTTCTATTCCTAATGGATTCATGGATTGTTATTGTTCTCTCATGTAAGGGTTTTCCTCCTAAGCTACCAAATGGCCCTACAACTATATCAATAACAATAGATTTGTCCTTCAACATTGCTTTAGCTCGACCAACTATCAAATTTATGTCCATTCTAGTCAAATCAACTCTTATTGGATGTAAAATATTTTGCTACAAATGCACTTCACAACATTGGTGCTAGAATATTACACAAAAACTCACTCAAGTCATGTAATTCACTTCTAGCACTATACTTGAAATTTCAGATCTAGATCAAGAATGCAACTCCAGATTTCATGGAGTCCCAAGTTAGCCAATTCGGGAGGGTCGAACTTAAACCTAAAACCCAAATCACAACATTGTGGGTGCTTAAGTGCCCCCATGCCAGCCACTATTTTTTATTCTACAATTTTGTAAGCTTGTGTTTTTAGAAACAGCACAAGAGAATCATCCAATACTAACCCTCATCCACGTCGCTAACCCCCTCCCATCCATCGACGACCACACCTATCCACTCATCCTTCCATCAAATCATCCACCAGGTCCTACATCCACCGATCAGCGCTCTCATCCACATCCACATGCATCCATGTTTATACACGACTCATCCATCCTTCCATCCCGGGTTGGGTTGAGGGTTTAAGCCAACCGGATCCCGTCCCAGCCAAGAAGCTTGGCCGGACGCCCATCGTCCCTGAAGCCTTATAGCTCACCATCGCCAACGCGAGGTTTTCTTTTGCACTTCCGCCCCGCAGCTCGTCCCTTCTTTCTTCAATCTTTGTAACCTATTTCTCAATTTCTTGACGCACACTGTACCGTCAACATGGTGGGTGCGGTGGCGGTGTCGAGTGGTTTGAGATCCAACCTCGGGGTTGTGAACCTTGCCACCAAGCCTTCGAGGTTTGCAGAGTGCGAGGGGTTGCCATCGCAGGTGTCATTGAGGAAGGGAGCGAGAGGATCCAAGATGCTGTTGAGCAGCAGCAGGAGAAGAGGCTTGGGAGCAATTAGGGCAGACGCGTTGCCGTCATCGCAGGAGGTGGCTGACAATGTGCCTGGAGCCACCGCCTTGACGTTGGAGGAGGTTGCGACCGATTCGGCCAAGCCAAATTCGCCCAACAATGGACCCATGTCGCCGAAGAAGGGCAGGAATGAGAATATCAGGGAGGAGGCGCGTCGGCAGGGCGCTGGCAGCTCGCCGACCACATTCTCGGCCAAGTACGTGCCGTTCACGCCCGGGGTGAAGTCCGACGAGGAGTACTCGCTGGACGAGGTTATTTACAGGAGCAAGACTGGGGCGTTGCTCGATGTGCAGCATGATATGGAGGCTCTTAAGAAAGCGGGAGATGGCGCATACTGGAGGAAGTTGTTCGACTCGCGGGTGGGAAAGACGACGTGGCCGTATGGGTCGGGGGTGTGGAGCAAGAAGGAGTGGGTTTTGCCTGAGATTGACGATGACGACATTGTTAGTGTGTTTGAAGGAAATTCCAACTTATTTTGGGCGGAACGATTTGGCAAAGAGGTTCGTTACTCATGTCAATTGGTCTTTTGTAGTAGTTTAAATTTTGGGTCCGCAATGTTGGTAATGGGCCAGTCAGAGATATGTACATCCCTTGGTTTTTTGTTACTTCGTTTATCGATTGAAAAAATTCTCTTCATTCGTCATTCTTGGCACAATACCTAGGCTTGCTGTGATGTTTCATACTTCTGTCAAGTTGAAGTTGTATTTGGCTGGCGGTTGTTTTTAGATGTTTTTAGAATTGCATTCGAATAACCACCAACGTCCAAGTTTTCAAAGGCTTGTGGACGTTTCAAGAGCCTATGGGTCACGTAGTAGTGAAAGATTTCAAAAAATTGTGGTCGTTGGTGGTTTATCTTTCTACTACGTTATCATGACCCCTGTCATGTTCTCTGCTTTCGAGCCCTCTTGTAATTTTATATAGTTGCTAGCCTTTTTTGTGAGGAAATGAATTGATCGCAACATTTGTGATTTGGTTGTTACTTCTGTACTTATTCAACGTCGTAATGCTTTTGCAGGTTATGGACATGACTGACTTGTGGGTGAAGCACTGTGGTATCAGCCACACCGGCTCGTTCAAGGACCTTGGAATGACTGTATTAGTTTCTCAAGTGAACAGGCTTAGGAGGCTGGGCAAACCTCTTTTGGGTGTGGGTTGCGCTTCAACAGGAGACACGTCAGCAGCTCTTTCAGCTTATTGTGCAGCTGCCGGAATTCCAGCCATTGTATTTCTTCCCGCTAACAAGATTTCCATTGCCCAATTAGTGCAGCCAATCGCTAACGGAGCCTTGGTATTGAGCATGGACACCGACTTCGATGGGTGCATGCGACTCATCAGGGAGGTAACCTCGGAGCTTCCCATCTACCTCGCTAACTCACTCAATAGTCTTCGTCTGGAGGGTCAGAAAACTGCCGCCATCGAGATCCTTCAGCAATTCGATTGGGAGGTTCCAGACTGGGTCATTGTTCCTGGAGGTAACCTTGGGAATATTTATGCTTTTTACAAGGGGTTCTACATGTGTAAGGAGTTGGGATTGGTCGACAGAATGCCGAGACTGATCTGTGCCCAGGCGCACAATGCTAACCCTCTTTACAGAGCCTACAAGGATGGCTGGGAAAATTTTAAGCCCGTCAAAGCTCTCCCAACTTTTGCATCGGCCATCCAGATCGGTGATCCCGTGTCTATCGACAGAGCCATCTATGCTCTAACCCAATGTGATGGTATTGTAGAGGAGGCAACAGAGCAAGAGATCATGGATGTCTGTGCTCAAGCAGACAAGTCTGGAATGTTTACTTGCCCACACACAGGAGTTGCTTTAGTTGCTTTGGAGAAACTCAGGTCCAGGGGCGTTATTGGTCCCAATGATAGGACCGTGGTCGTTAGTACTGCTCATGGACTCAAGTTTACTCAATCGAAAGTTGAATATCATTCTAGTGAGCTGCCAGATATCGTAAGCCAGTTCGCTAATCCTCCTGTTTCAGTAGCCGATGACTTTGGCTCTATCATGGACGTTCTGCGTCAAAAGCTTTCTTTGAATAATCTCAAAGGCAGCATGTAGGATCTTAGGGTAGTACGGGCGTCTGTAGATCTAGTCGAGTGGTTTTTATTTACCTAGTGTAGTTTTAAGATTGTTTTGAACTCTGTAGTTAAGTTTTGGGAGTCACGGTTATTTGTAAGCTCCATCGAGAGCAATCTCGTTATGGAAAAGAAATTGATTTACACAACCGTTTCTGAAGTTTTGATACAGAACTGTTGTGATACTTGAGCCTATGTGTTTTTTTCAGCTGGTTTCCTTAAGAACTCATAGAATATGTCCTTTTTTGAGCGGGCTCTTTGTTGGGTCCACAATAGTGACCTGCAAACTCCCTTGCGGGTGTTAGCCACCTGCACCAACATATCTTGTAGAATGTAAGGACGTGGGTATGTGAGCATCTATTTTGATAACTTCCAAAAGGATGATCTACCGTTAGATTCTACGTGGGAAGAGAAAATAATCACCAAAGGGCCAAACAAAGTGTTGATGACTTACCAAAGGATGCTACAACCTATGAACCATCGGTATTAGAGGTATATCTGAAAAGTTTGCTCCGCATGATAATTGCAGATAGTACTTTTACTCGGATGGGGATAGCACAACTGTCCTGTCTTGTGCCACAGTTACTACCAGGGTGCCTTCCGGCGTACGCTCTTGCGACATGATTCTTGTGAAATGACTAGAACGTGTACATTTTTATTATGAAACCGGGAATTGTAATTGAGTAGCATTTCAGACAAGCGCTCGTGGCAGTTGCAACAAGCGGCATTTCCAGGAGAGCGTGTGTCTGAACTAGATTCATGAATCAAATATTGAATACCTCAGTATGAATCTTTAATTAAAAATCTATGATGGATCAGATCATTACTTGTCACTGTCCCATTGCAAAGATGCAACAGACATCATAGCAGTGGCGATGCCTCTATGCACATGTTTATCGTCAATAAAAGCCTTCTCAATATGTACATCTGCATTCCCTAAACGAATGCATCGCAGCAAATACACTGCATGTACACACCTAAGTTTTGCAAAACCCAAAACCCAAATATTTAAAGCTCTAAACCCTGAGCTATTCTCATTGTTATCCACTTCTACTACTCATGCCAAAATAGTCTTTCCCAGCACAAACAGCGTCGACGAAAATGTGACACCAAAAATCATGTACAAAAACCCTCTGTCAAGCACAAATCCATATAATGATATTCCAGCGCGAGTATGCTGCAAATACGTAACCAGCGCCTGCCTCTTCTGGAACGCTTCCAAGTCATGCGTCAGAACCTCTTCAAACGCATCCCTGCTATCAAAATCGTCGAAGGAACTCCTTCTATTGTGCAGTAGCGGATGTGCAGGGCCATAAAAGGATGTTCGGCGACTACTCGAAGTAGATTCAATAATAGTACCCGGGCTGCACGTCGCCAGGGCGTGCCATTTGCTCACACTAGTGACAATGTGCTGTGCTTTGTGTGTAATCTTTGCCGCTCCTTGCAGACACAGCACCAAGCCTGTGAGTTGCACAAGGGAGCAGACGGCCAGGTCGCCAGCGCGGAAGAAATTGATCGTCTTCGCATATAAAAGGATCTGGAAGAGGGAGGAGAGTTGGCTGAAGATAATGGTGAAGAGCGCCAAGATTAAAAATATACGAAACCGGTGGCTGATTGTCGTAAGCTGGTTGCGGAGCTTCATGTGCTCCTTGAGGATAATAGACACCTCAGAGGTCACCTCTAAGAGTTTGTAGTAGCCTCTGAGGCGGAGGATTTGGAGGGAGCACATAAGCCTAAAGAGGACGCACATGAATAGGAAGACGCTCGTTCTGTACAGCCACGAGAAGATGGATGCAATGAAGAGGATCACATTGATCCTGGGGATGTCTGTGAAGTATGGGATGCTGACGGTGACGTAGTAGAACCACCAGGCTCGGTGCCCTAATGCTACGAGAAAAGTTGGCAGGAGCATCCACGCAAGAATCGAAAAGGAGCTATCAAGCTTGGCTTGGAAGCCTTGCTGTACTTCAGGGGACTCTTTCACGATCTTGTCCAGGAGAAGCGTTCTTCTCAACCCGTATTTGTGGAGAATGTGAGAAAGACAGAAAAACGACACAATAGCGAGGACAGTTTCGGACATCTGCACCAGCTTCTCAAAAGGATGCCTGCGCCTCTCCTCGCAATTTTCACACGACACAAACGAATAATTGAATATGGGGACCACAAATGCTAGCAGAACGAAAAGGATGCGCGAACATACGACCTTGATCGTGGTGGACTGGTCGAGCCCTAGCCATGACAATCCCGAACGAAACCGCCGCAGCTCATCCTTGGGATTGGATAAGACCCGCTTGTATTTGCTCCTTAGTTTCGCCCTCTGCTCTTCCTTGTCCGGATCGAAGTCATCTTCCACATCAGAAAACTGCACCCCTTTCCGAATCAAAGGGGCTTCCATGTCTGGCTGCGAGGCATCTTCCGGAACATCCACTTCCGGTGCAGCCTCCAAAGCGTCCTCCTTCATGACTATTACCTTCACACAAAAGACTCTCTACACACTCCGAAACCTAGGTCAAATGCAACGAAGGAGTTCGTAAGACTTCAGACTATCATGCTCCGAGCGTGATCTTGAAACACGAATAACGAATCATCACAACTAATAACCGAACAAACGAAACCCCCGTAGAGCAGATTCATCAGAAACATTTCAAGATCTAGAGGGAAGGTCAGGGACCGCATTCGGAACTGCTTCGAATCCTAAATGAAAATCGTTGACACCACCTACTGCAGCTCCGAATGGATCAGTGGATTAGAGAATGCACACCAACTTGGGAATAATGCAATCGCGGTCATCCCGCTCTCCCCAGTTGCCGAGAGCAGCGGGAGCGTGATTCCATCTGGATTCCTGATCTCACCGGCTGCAACGCCTATCCACCACCTTCCTCAAGCGGATGGACTGCGGCATTCGTCGTTGCAATCTGAAGCTCTGTGGGTGTATGAGCGCAAATTTCTCATTCCATTGCCAGAACCAAATGGCGTTCGAAAGTGTGACGCACGATTTTCGAACCACAACTAAGGCGTCGAAGGAGGCGAGGCTTTTCCTTGAGAGGAACTAGGACGGGTGGACACATTGCGGGGTTGGAAAAGGCCCTCGCCCGACCCGTTCCCGTCCATCCGCCCCCCTGGCATTATACTCTCAACTGATGGTTGTGCTGACGCGAAGAGTGGGATTAAATTTGAGTTTAAATCCACATGGCTCTGATTAACTAAAGAGTGTTCAAACTTTTTGTCAATAAAATCAGGGTTCGTGTTCAGAAAAACTGTATTTTCAAGTTTGAATTGATAGTTTGATTATTCAATTACTAAAATTAAACTACATGAAACAGAGGGGAATACACCTTCGGTCCTGATTTTGTGCGTATTTTTTAGCATATTAATTTGTTGAGTTCATGGATCTCAACGTCACTAATCATGGCCTAAATTCTCTTTCCTCACTCAAAATTTGTTTTACATAATAAAAAATAAATGGGAAATTCATTAAGACACTCATGTGTAAATTTGTGGAATTAGACATCAAAATCATTCTCTAAATTACAAAAGTCTACTTGTAAAAACATTTGAAAGGTTTTGAACAAAGATGACATATGGTGGATGGGTTGTGGTGGTAACAGCATAAACTGTGGTGGCAATAGCACTACCAGATATATATATATATATATATATATGCATGGAGAAATAGATCTGCAGATTCTTCATATCTTGACACTGTTTTGACATCATGCCAAGTTTACTGTTTCCAAACCCCTTGATCCGATCAAATCCTTACCTTGAAAGCGAGACACATGCTTTCATCAGTTTTGATTAGTTTAAGTGGCTAAAAAAACGTCAAAAAGTGTGGAGCTTACTAAGCAACAGGCACGGAGACGGTGGCGGTGAGAGGCTTCAACACAAGAGTCGAAGTCCGCGGCGTACACACAGTGGCGCCGTGGAATGGCTCTCCGTGCCAGGTATGGTCTCAGTTTCTGAGAGGTCCCCGCAGGTGCACAATCAACAGAACGATGCCAACAGCTCCGGCACCGCAACATGGTCCCATCGATTTCAGCCTAAATGACTTTGAGGGAAGCAAGAGCCCTCGAAGAAGGCTCCTGGTGCAACTGCCGCTCGATCAGCTCATCCAGATCTAGGCCGATGTCACCACCTCCCACATGATAAATTTGCGCTGGTAGTGTAGGCCCAAGTAGGCCTACGCACAGTTCAGGTCATTATGGATCATCGGGGGCTGGAAGCACGAGAGTCTCACCATCGTGGACAACGTCTGCTACCCTGCGAAGTTCCTCACGTGAACTTCCCCTGGAACCATCTGACAGAGTCGCCCTCGCCTCTCAAGGCCAAGAATCAAAGCATGAATGTTAAATTGCAGTCCACCAATCGAACTGTTTCGCTTTGGAGTCCGTTCCGTCGGAGGCATGGTCGATGCTTGGCCTGTAATTTCTGCATGTCCGAAGCTAGTAAACATGGACTGACTTTCAACAAGCAGTCTGTGTGTGGGTGTGTGTGTGTATCGAAAGGATGCTATGGACCCTCCAGTCGTCTTCCTTTGCTTCTGCCCCTACTTCGACTTCATCTCGGTTAGTATCTGACTCATTTCGACCATCTGGGTAACCGCAACATGCAGCGTCTACAGCATTTTCTGTAACATTCCAGTCCTTTCGTTGATACAGTAAGCTCGTTTTTACTGGATTTCAGCATCAGGAGTGGCACCGAGAAGTCCTGGAATCATCCAGTGCTGAGATGCAAGACCTCCAGGAATCAGCGTCTAGATCTTTGCAGCATTGAGGAAATGAAAAAGAGTTGTTGCTCTGGGGAAATGGATCGACGAGCCACTTTCATGCAACGTCGATCATTGTGTGGCGGTGGCGACGCAATAATGCTCCTCCAGCACTATCAGTATCAGACTAGCATCATTCATTGCTAATGAATTCATAAGACATCGTCTATTAATATGAAAATGACATTCTATTGACTTATTAAAACATTCTGCAGCTATCAATGATGAGATCTCATTGTCATCTGTACGTTTCTAATTCTTTTTTTTGTTTTTGCTTTTATTCTGTATAGAAACTTCTGGGACTAGACAGAGAATATTCCCGTAGTCCTCGGCAACCTCCCTCCTCCTACGTCTTCTATTTTTTATTTTATTATATTTCACTCCATTATATTATTTTTTATTTTCTAATGTTGAAATACTTTGAAAATTATGTTTAAAAATGTTCCAAGATTATTTAAAAGAATTGAAACTTATCCTTTGTATTTTATTTATGCAAGTGAGGCAATTTCTTTGTTCATTTGTATGAATTGTTTGTTTTTTGGGAATACTGATAAATTTTAAAATAATTATTTATTCCCTTTTCCAATTGATGTTTCATGGCTTAAGACTCAAGTGGTAAAACATGGTTAAGAATGCATGAGGATTAAGGTGAATCAGATAAGGAAAACATCTACAATGTATATATGTGTATATATATATATATATATATATTTACACACCACAAAAAAATATTTGCATGAAATATATTTATCTTTTAGTATTCACTTATATAGATATAATGCATGATTTTCAAACATGTACTTCAAATTTGATAAATCCAAATTATGTTCTTCAATTATATATTTATTAATTTATTTGTTTAAAAAAATTAGTCGGGATTATTTTTTATTTTTTTAAAAGTTGTATGTATGATCTCAGCATTCATCATTTCACTAAACAAAAATTGTGTAAGCCATATATTTTACATTTTTGAAAATGTGTTGTCATGTAGTTTAGATGTATTTCATCACTATAATCACTTTGATGAGATAAACATGAAAAGAAAAACATATTATGACCATGATTATATGCCAAAAAGGCTAAATTTAAGTGATAAAGTTCATGAACACATATTTCAACCATTGCATTAAGTTACAATACATTAAGTATTAGACTTACAAATATATTCTCAAAAAACTTCCAAAGTCAACTCATTTAGTACCTTTAAATACAAATTTTTTTAGAAAATCCAAACAACACATGGGTAGCTTTCATTAAAAATACTACATAAAACATGGCACCATTTCTAAAAGATGTGTGTAGCAAATTGGGGGATGTTCACAGATAACGTGTTCAATTTTGGGTCCCATACTCAGCGTGGTATATGAAGGGGGCAAGACCGTGACGGACGTATAATATAAAACATTCATCCAAGATGAAATCTGCAAGTCGGAAATGAGGTGTGGTTCCATGTGTTAGGAAGAGAGAGAGAGAGAGAGAGAGAGATTTGGGGATGTGGACCAATTAGGACCTCGGCGACACCTCATCTAACACTGTGTGTGTTGGTGGAGCATGCACGTGGTAAGGCAGAGGAAGAATGAATAAACAATGGATGGACGAATGAATAGCGGAGATAGGGGGGAGGATGGAATGATGAACAGGGCTATTTGGGCTCTGGCTCTGCGGAGCCAATCGTGTCGAAGCAGCACTATTATCATAACCATCATCATTATCATCATCATCATCATGGCCTCTGCTCCATCTGAGGGGGGATATGTCCTTGCTGTCAGAGTGTTTTGAATATTAATGGGACTAAAGAAAGACTAGAAGTATTCCCTGAGCATCCAGGCAGGAGGTGCCATGTAGGATGCCAGGTGGGATACCAGGTGGAGCAAGCGACTTAGTGACAAGGACGAAGAGGAAGAAAATGTAATTCTCACTATTTGTGGTGTGAAAGTCTTTCTTTTCATGTGTATATATACACCCACATCCGTTTACTTGTGTGCTGATTTCCAGATTATCGTATTCGTTTCATCCCAGAAAATCCAAGATTCAGGTTTTTTCATTACGTTTTGTTTTTCGACCTCGTTCACCTTCATTTCTTCAGTTCAATGCAAAAGTCGTAAATGAGAAGGCGAATCTTAAGAGATGAAAAGAGGAACAGTTCTGTCCACAATCAGCCAATGAAACGATCATTTCAAACGCATACATCTAAATGAGCACTCCATCACTCATATCTTCAGACAGGGATGTGTGAAGCTTTGGTTTTATGCATCTGCTTCAATTGCAAATAAGGTTGCCCATAATTGCTTTATTTATAAAATGGCCTGGAATTCCGGGAGCCTGGAAAACATAGGTATGCTGCTTGATGCGATCTCCAAATAGCCTAGTGGTTAAGTGAAGCTATAAAACCGCATGCAAGTTAAGCTACTGATCTGTCATATACTAAAAAGACAATGAAATAATTCCTTTCCCGTGTGCAAAAAAGACCAAAACAGGTCCTATTTCAGTTTCCATTATAGTTCCTAACATTGGACCCCTAGTAACCTGGTCCACATACTTGTATACGTGAATAACCACAGAAAATCTAAGAAGATATAGCCAGAGTGGTCACTGGCAAGACATTTAGAAACCCACTTCTTATTATAGCTACTTTCCTTTCAAAAGTGTAGGGCACTAAACCTGACAAAAATATATATATATATATATATATATATATATATATTCGTCATTCGGGGAAACGAGGGAGGAAAGAACAGTGATGTAGAAGTTACCTCATACGAAACATTCAGTTAATGCATTCCCTAGCTGACAATGTCCAGCATGTGCATCTGGGCCAAGTGTCACAACATCAACAGCTCAAGGTCCCAAACTTCCAGCAACCTGTTACAGTTACACAGAATGATAGCGATGAGAACAATTGATTCTTAGACCCGATTTGTCATGAAAACTCAATGAGATAATGACAAAACATCCTATTGTGATCTTTGAAGGTGAGCGGGTAGGTCCCGGATATCATAGATCATGCAAGTGGTGAAATAAGAGCACAAGTTCCAGGCTAATCCGTTTAATGTCATATGATAACGAGAAGGTTTCAAATGGACAACACCACACAGGGCCTCAAAAAATTACCTCTCTGAGCCTGGTTGAAGTTTTGAGGGTTTTCTGGAAGCCAAACTCTGTTCTGCATTGATACAGTCGCGTCTTGAGAGTCGCCTAGACTACGGTAATTGCCCAGCTCTAGATTGTGCATAGTAGAATTCGACATGTGAACACTCCTTCCTGTCTGGGACATGCTATCACTCATTAGCAGTTCCTCAGTTGTTAATCTTGAATCTAGGGACGACGTTGGGGACGGATCTCGTGATCCTGCGGCACCAGAAAAGTTGAGAATTAAAGAGAAGCTCTGAATGTGTTACTCACCAAATGCGTAAAAAAACTTTGAAATCCAACTTCAACTTGTAAACAAGATAACAAGATGCTAAGTTAATCAGTTTGGAATTCATCAAATCGGATTGTACCTGAAGGAGGACCTGACTTGTCCGAAGTCTTGACAGTCCGATACATCTTCATAGACAACCAAACAGAAGAGCGGTTAGTCAGAACCCAAGTCAAGGATCAAAACAGGGTCCAAGATCAGCATAGGATGCTACTTCTCTATAATGGAAAAAAATTCTAGAGAAATTTAGCTGCAAAAAAACAAGAGTGCTAACTCAGCTAGGTGATGTAGTAATGCAACATAATTTAGCAAATGAAAAGAACGTCAATGGCCTGTCTCCCCACCTGCAAGTGACTCTTCACATGAGCTAAAGTAAGGTCCTTCACATTCATGAGCTCCAAAACAGATTTCGGTGTTGCTCCTGTGCAATATCAGGAAACGATTCACAATAAGTATTACAGCTTGAAAACCCCACGTGGAACTCAATAAAAAAAAAAAAATCCAGACACATCAATTTAGCATTACGGAATACCTACATGAAACTCACTGCTGCATGGTCTCAATGTACACAAACATGAAATCTAGATTTGTGGTGTCCCTGTAATCAGGAGGCGCAGAAATATAACAAATTACACTTACTCTCGTGGCCCCCAAGAAGCTCCACGGCCTGGACAAAATGAGCATGCAATGTACTAGTCCACCTCATTCTTGGAGCTCGTATCGAGCGTTTAGCTGGCGATCTCGGCGGAAAGTGTGAACGAAACGAGGTAACGTTTGCATAAACACCCTCCCGCTTAGCATTGTAGCCTGCTCCATAATTCCCAAGCAAAGTTGACAGATTTCCTCCACACGTCGATGCCTGCATGCCAAGCATATTCTTCCCATTTTCGAGACCATACTGATGTGAGAATCTATGACAGGAGTCCATCCCAACCATGTAGTAGTTTTGAAACTTCGGTAGGTCCCTACTGGGCAAGGCCTCGGGGTGCACTCCAGGATCGCTCCATCTACCAAGAGAAAGCTCGTGAATAGGAGAAGGATGTGAGCTGGTGTAATTAGGTCGTGAAAACACTCTCTGCTGGGAATAAAGATCATCGATTGAGCTCTCAGACAATCGCCTAGTGAAATTCTCTTGGGTCTCATTCGGGTAGATTGAGAACGTTCTTGGTAAGTCTTTGCGAATTCGATCAGATGGTGAGGACACCCTGTCTGGGCTAATGCGGATTGACTCTGACCAATTGTCCAGTAAGAATGGGTGGGCAAGACCTTTGCAGATGTATCCATTTTCTTGCACGCTTTCTTGAACTTCTTCCCTACGTCCAATGACCATCCCCTCGTCGGCTGTCGATTTCGGTAAAGCTCGTTTGACATACTGTGAATCCAAGGGTGGATTTGCCAGGCACAGAACTGTTGACGCTCCCATGCTGTTGACGTAAGCAGGACTGTACCCCTCGGCTGCAGGACTAGAGACATTGCTCTCGCTATCAGTGATACAGCTCATAGATTTCGTGGGCTGCTTCCAGAGATCGAAACCATGGACATGGTCGGGCACGACTTGGAGATTTGAATACTGTGAGGAGGACTTTAGACGTCTGTCACAGCTGCTACTGCTTGGTGGGCTGATGTGAAGCGCCAAGTCCGGTCCAGAATGTGTATTGGAGGAGCTTGACACACTCATAGATTTATCCGGACTGAGCTCTTGCATTGTAAGCTAGCAGCTTTCTCCTTCTGTAGCTTGTCAGTCTATAATAGACTTTAGACGTTAAAGCTTCCGCGCAAAAAGCGAATAAAGGCGTGAACAGAGGCAGAACCCCTGAATGCAACAGTGTCGGAGAAGAAGTTCTCGGGGAGGGGTGGGAAGGGGGAAGTAAAATCAAATTTCTTTTTTTAAAAAAAGACAGTTCAACTGAACTCAACCGTATGAAGGAGGAGACCGCACCAATCGCAGGCTACCTGGAAAGTAAATATATCTTAAATGGCATGAGAAGGCGTGACTGTCACATGCACTTCTGCGCTCCATTCTAATTCACAAAAGAAGAAGCCGAAAGCAAGAGATCGAGAGTAACGAGTAGCAACCGGCGCAAGAACAATAAACCCCGAATAGCCACCAGAGGAGACAGGACAATCCGTCATGAATCAGATAGCACAACGAAGTATTTCCCAAGGTCTCCAAGCATCCTGTAGCTCCTAGAGAGTTGTCTACTCGAATTCTAACTGCTTGAAATTCACAACGAGAATCTGAATCCTTAAAAATCTAACTTCTCGGGAATCTCCGGAGCAAAATCCAATTCTAAGAGCCTCCAAGATCGCAGAAATGCTCTCACCCTCGTCGATCGAGATGCAAAATACAGAGCCAAGGACCCGAAAAGCTTCGCCACTTCCACCTCCCAAAAGCAGGCAGCGTGAATGAGAATTGAATCCGGAGGACAACGGGACACCGACTCACCACAACATGCGGACTTGCATCACGTTGGGCCCAGAGCAACAAGTAACCTGAAGAGAGAGAGCACAGAGAAGTTCCTACGTATGACTTGCGTGCGAGGAACTACTGATTCGGGAGGTTGTGCTGGGTTGTTCTACCGCCAGAGCCTCGCGCAATCGACATCCCGCCTCACCAGAGCCAAAACGCAAACCCACACACTACCACTTAAATCTCAAGGAGCGAAACATCCCGCAACACATACTCCCCTCCCGACATCCAAGCTCCAGGCACCACGTCAGTGACGACAACAAACTCCGAGAACTCGTACGCATCCGTCCTACTGTTATTTTCCCACTTCGCTCCACCGCTCTCACTTCATTCAGTTCGTTCGCTCTACTCTTCGCACACCACTCCACTCCACTACTCCACTCCTTCCTCCTTCCAAGACTCAATGGCAGCTCCCAAATCTCCAACGACCGCAATCCTCGCCCCCGACATCTCCCACACTCTATCGCCTGAGCCAACCGTCACAGCAACGCGAGAGACTGCATCCTCCACAGCATCATCCAGCTAGGGGTTCAATCCAATGGAGAGGATTAGGGTGGCAAGGCAGGGGCGGGGAGGGGCGGGGCGGGGCGGGGGGAGCGTCAAGGGAGAAGGAGGATGTAGGTGAGTGCCCTGAAGCAGCGGAGAATGTAATAGGATGGGAGGTACGAGAATAGCAAAAGCAGAGCGGCGTGGTTTGGCAGCACCACCAGCGCTGAAATGAATAAATAAATAAATAAAATGAGGTACGGGGGAGCAGCAACCAAGACGAGAGATGAGAGAGAAAGCGGAGCTTGAAAAGCAAGGCGGATGATTCGAATATGGATGCGAGAGGCCGGGGGGGAGGGGGTATGGGCGGGCATCGCGATTCCCGAGGCATGGGCTCGCTCGCTCGGGTGGCGACGGACGTTGGATGCGCCTTGGATGGATACCAAAATGGGCTGCACTGTAGGGCCTATTCATGAGTGGATGAAGAAGGATGAATGAGTTATTGTTTGGATGGATAGAGTCGTAGCCGCTGCTGGAAAGATTTCCCCTTCCGACTCTTTTCACTTCATCTGTTCTTTTCTTTTCTTTCCCTACTTTTGGTTCCTTTTTGTGTTTACTTCTTTTCGCGTTACGAGTTCGAAGCCTCTCTGGTGGAGGGTGTTGTTGTTGTTTATTAGCATTGTGTTGGAGTTGATGCTTCCAGATCACAGAGCATTCAAATCTTCGCCTCTGTTAAAACGAAGCCACTGCGTCTTGCCCACGTGATGGTGCTTGGTTGGATCCGCCTTCTCTGTCTTTCTTTACTATCTGACCAATCAAAAAGCTCTTCAATGCTCTTCAATGTTATCAATCAAACAATGCATCCCAATTCGCAAAAGAAAAAGACCCACAATTGACTCGAAATGAAAAATAAATGAATATCGTCGTCGTAACTTTGTACATGAGTGGGTCTTTTAGGGCAAAGGACAGGATTGAGCATGAACGATGATGGGAAAGCAAATATTTATCTTCATTAGATTTTGGCATCTGTCAAAACATTCTGTTGTTGCGTACAGACATTACATGTCTTTCCAAAAACAATAAAAAAAATCAATACATTAAATTACTGTTCTTATGTTTTTTTTACAAAAAAAAATCAAAAATCAAAAAAATATATTATCAAGTAAAACATATACGGACAGAGTATCATTACAGCAATCAAAGTATACTTATACGATATGGTAAATTTGACCCAGTGTTGTCAAGAAATTATCGTGTACTTCATGTGGACGCAAATCATTGAAATTTATGTTAATTTGATTAGCTTAAACTATCGCCTTTTAGATTATAGCATTTAGAATTTCTGCAAACTCGTGGAATTATTTTCTATGAGGTTTTTTAAGGAGGCTAGATTTTATTAACGAGTAAGTAGTACACGCAGTGTCATTGCAAACATAAAAAAGTTTTTAAATACTTACTGTAACTATTTTAATAAACACAAGTCATACAATGAATTCAAAATATTTGCATGTCATTTAGTGTGTATATATATATATATATATATAATTGTTGTAGTGGGTCCGCCAGTGTATTGCTATTCAAAATGACAACACTTTTGGAAAACAGGCTGGAATAAATTGTAGTCAACCTCGTATTCCAATTATTTTTGTCTTGATCCATCCACATCAAAACATTCCAGAAAAAAATCACGAACCATAAATGAAATCACGACATACATTGTACTCTCGAATATACGAAAACTACTTGGTAGCAACACTTATACTGTTATCATTATTACTATTATATTTTGATTGGTAATCGGGAGGGAGGGAGGGAGATAAGAGTGGAGAGCATGACCATGATGCGCATAATAATGGGCTATGATACAAATCCAACCACAAAGCCTGTAGGAACGCAAGGAATACGACGGGAATAGCCGAATCCTTGCCAGCCGCAAATTACCATCCATCCATCTCATTGCATATCATCAATCCAAATACCGATTCATCCATCCATCCCGGATTACAGCGATTTCATGAGATACAGCCCACAAGGCCTTCCCCTAATTATGGCCTAATTCACCCTCCTGCCCCTCCTTTCGGCCTCGAAACTACATGGAATCTTCCCTCCTCCAGCCTTCTCCATTCTTATTCCCTTCGCATATTTTTGTTTATTATTTACTAATGTTCATTTTTTGGGTTTCTTTTTCTTTGTCTGTCTGGCTGTCTGTCTTTCTCGTTGTTAGCAGGAATAAATGAAGGAGTAAACGAGTGGATTTGGAGATAAAGGGTGAGCAGGGCAGACAACGGTGATGCATTGCTTGGCTTGGCTTGGCTACTTTGATAGAAATAGAGTCACAAAATTGCGGAAAATCTTCTCTGGTTTGTGGGTTTCGGGGAACAAGAAAGAGTCGATTGTGGCTTCGCCCCATTTGGATTGCATTCAATCTTGTCTCCTTCCCCACGTATATATATTTGTATTTGTATATATAGAGAAACTTGCACACACATATGTATGAGTAAAATTGGTGCCTTTAGATCCCAGTGTAAAGCATCCGTTAGGTCAACCCACACCATTGTTAGAAAAAGCTCAAATTCCATTTCCATCAACGAGTTTTCACTATACTAGTTATATATATATATATATATTTACACAAGAGCATTAAGGTTGTAATAAAATTTATTAGCCTTTTCAATTCGCTAACACACTACATCCGTGATATCTTTGGAGAATATCATTGAAGTGATCCCAAGGCCTCCAATTTCCATACATAAATTACCAAAGTTAGGAAAAGAAAAAATAGACATCACATTATTTACACTGGAATCGTAAAAAATAACGATAACGAAGATGCAAAAAGAATAACATAAAATAAAATAAAAATAGTGTACTACAGTTTCATGGTAGCAACAATTCTCAGATTTACTAAAATTATTCCCAGTTTCAATAGTGAATTCCCTTTTCATTGAAATCAGATAAAATCTCACAAGAATGATGAGTTTCTCAGTGTGGAAAAGGGCACGCCAAGAGAATAGCATTCTACCGCGTCTGCTGATTCGAACAGAAGTTCTCCCCCCGGAAGGGCATAGTGGCTTTCCAGAATGTGCCCTGGTGGTTCCCCCACGCCTTCGGGTACCTGGGTACCATGAGAACGCAGCAGCAGGGCCATGTCATCCATTACCGTGGCAGAGGGACGGAGGGCCCGTTCCCAAGATAGCCAAGGGATTGCGCAATAAACGGCCCAGATCGCGAGGCCTGTCGATGCAATCCATCGGCTCGTGTCGCACGGCATGTCTGTTGCGGAGATGGCAACTAGCACGGTCATCAGTTAGTTGTCAATTGCACACATTGCGAGTTATATTGTTGAGAATGGTTGTTGAAAGCTCCTGAGCAGTAGGAGAAAAAGGATAGGAAAAGAATACAGACAAATTCTTGTGCATTGAGATTGCTTTGAGAGACTCATAAACAATCTATATATATATATATATATATATATATGAATAAGAGAATGTAAGATAGACCCAAGTTTTTATTAAATTGACCTATCCATGGTGAAGAATATGATAATCGTGATGAATGTGGGTGGTTTTCATTTGTTTTGGATTCAAGAGTAAAGAATTAAATCTAGAAGTCATTTCATTTTTATTCTTTTTTTTATTTGTGATGATTAGGATGGGTGTGACAACTTAGTAAAAGTTTGGAACTATTTACCATTTTTCCTATCTATAATAATGATAATAATAATACTTAGAAACAAGGCACTTACAAAAGAATAATGTGTAAGTTTGTGAAATTTAACATCAATTTTAAAGAATATGTATCTATAAAATTTTATAAAGAAGAAAACAAACGAAAGTGTACAATTAAGAATAAGATAGAAATTAGTGCTCAAACTTTGTCAAATTTGAAATTCGTGATATTTATAGATTACAATATACCAAATATTATTCATTATAAGTTTTAATTTATATATCCACAAAATTATAATTTATAGGTTATTTAAATCATTAATTATATTATAATCCAAAATAAAAAACTACTTAATAATCAAAATATCATCAAATACTTTTAAAACTAAATTCAATTAAAATATTATAAAATATATCATCTAATTCTAAAGATGTTACCAAGTATTAATATTTCAATAAAACATGTATAAAATATATATATATATATACATATATTTTTAATTTACCAAATAATGTAGAAAATTATGAAAGTAATAATTATATAGTAAATTTTATAAAATATTATTAAGATATGAAAAATATTCAAAGATAATTCTAATAAAAAATAAGATGGTTTATATAGCCTTTTAAATAATAGTCAAAAAATAATTATACGTTTAATATGTGTGTGTATATATATATATATATATATATATATATATATAACAAACTACTATTATATTTTTATTTTTTTGATAATACTAAAATATTAAGAATTTGTTTTAATAAATATATGATACTAGTTTATGCATTACAAAAAGAATTGGACATAATTACTAGTTTTAAAAACTTATAACCTATTATGAAATAAATCTTCTTAAAATCTATTTACAAACTATTATTTGAGATGATATTTTTCAAATATTCTAATTAATTTATATGAAATATACATATTTTCATCTTGGCTTATTATCATGCATTTTAAATTTTTTGTAGTTGAGGACAAACAAATTGTTTAAGTTCTTCTATATTTGTGATATTAAAAATGATTTTGTATAAACATTACATATCAAAATTATCTAAAATCTACAAATCACATTGTTTATTAAATTTAGAAAGTGGTTGGATTATTTTTAAATCCAAAAGATATGATATTATTTGAAATATGGCTTTATCTCATTTATAATAAAATCTTTGGTTCTATTTTGTTTCATTTTTTTTATTTTTAAGTTATTTATTTTAGATTAGGTTGTACTCTCTTTTTAGATTTTTAATATTATGGATCTTAGCTTCACTTAATTGGTTTTAGACCCATAATACCAAAGGGATACAAAAACAATTCTTAATAGTGAATTTCTTGAGTGTCAATAATCTACAAACATTTATAAGGATATCTCTTTTCTCTTCACAAAGATATTTGGCAAACTTGTGGTAGATTTTTTATGTTGGTTATAAATATTTGGGATGCTTT